ACAGTAAACATTCCTGTAAGCAGAAAGGGAGCCCACTGGTGGCTAATAATGATACCTTCATGCTACTTCAGTCTGCTCTTGTGAATCACTCTCCTTAGGTGTGGTAAGTTTGAACCTTAGGTACTTTGTAGTCCCACAAGGCTGACGACCAGAAGCTGAGTTATCCTGTGATAAACTGTGCTAGAAGTGGAATCTGCTGGACATGCCCTGCCATGTGGGCTCTTCCCTAGGAGCTTGGCTGTTACTGCTGAGGGGCTGACAGAGCCCAGGGCTCTGGATGCTTCAGGCAAGCGCTCTGGAAAAGCTCTGTCTGCAGTCCGCGAATTCTCAAGAGGAAAGGATAAAAGGTTCTCCAGCAGCCTCTGCAGCCTGGATCACTGCTTAATGTGGCACGTTCATTCTTGTTTAAAACAAAGGGGTGGGTTGGTTGGACTGCTGAGTGGGTGAAAGTCCTTCCTCTGCAAGTCTGCCCACTTGAGTTTGAGACTCAGGGTCTATAGTGGGAGAAGGAGTCAACTCCTTAAAGTTGTCCTCTGATCTTACCTGTGCATGTGACATACATGAATGTACACATATACACTCTGAGGAAAAAAAGGTCATTGATTCTATGCTAGTCAGTTAATATAACTTTAAACTATTTCTCAGGCATTCATAAAAGATGAGACTAGAATGATTACCACTTTCATTTTGTGAGACAGGCTTTAACCAGACACAGTTAAAACTAGTGCACAAAGCAATTTTTATTTTGAGATGCCTATGGTCCTTAATATATATCAGGCAACACCACAATTTCAAGTTTATTCTCAAGCTAATGTTTGTATTTCAGAATACAGTAGGATTTGCCATGCATTTTATGTTCTAATAAAGCATATGGGACCAACTTATTCTTATTTTTTAAAAAATAATTGGTGCAGGACAATTGTCTATGTTTCGTTAATTATATTTTAGATAAATGCTGATAGGCCAGTAGGTAGGCAGGAAATATATGTGAGACAACCAGAGAGGAAGTAGAGGTAGTTCAATGAGAACAGGAAAATTCTGGGAACAGGGAAGCTACCTCTTCAGTCCTGTCCAGACACAGAAGCAAGATGTGACTATGCCGCTGAAAAAGGTACTGAGCCATGTGACTGTCACAGATAAGAATAATGGGCTAATATAAGTTATAAGAGTTAAGAAGCTTGAGGTAACAGACCAATCAGTTTATAACTAATGTAGACCTCTGTGTGACTTCTTTGGGACTTAATGGTTGCGGGAACCGGGCAGACAGAAACCTCGTCAACAAATAATTACTTTTCTCTTTGTCATTTATGATCTCCCATTTTTTAGCCTTCTGTGTGCTGATGTTATGAGAGTGTACCACCATACCCAACCGTTTATTACATTTAATACAGCTACTTTTGGATGTGGTAACTCAGCTAAGTAACAATATGCCTAACTACAGCAGCCAAAACAAAATAAACCAGAACAACCTACATGCAGTATTTTAAGAGTCAATATGTGCCAATCCTGTAGTCTCGAGTACTTGTGAAGCCAAAGAAGAAGGTTTGTGAGTTCAAGGCTTTCCTTGAGTACAGAGTAGTTTAAGGCCAGTCTGAACAATTTATGAAGACTTTTTGGCATGAGGTGCCTGGAATGCAAGCTCCAGCAATTCCCTAACCCCTCTGTTCACCATATAGTTATAGTTATGTTTTGTCTTGACAAATAATTACATTAAAGTAAGAAGCAGGAGGAAAAGGAAGTTGATCTATAACACATGTATTAGTTCCAATACATTTCTTTATTCTTCCTTTTTCTTTCTTTCTTTCTTTCTTTCTTTCTTTCTTTCTTTCTTTCTTTCTCTCTATTTTTCTTTTGAGACAGGTCTCACTATGTAGCCCCGGCTAGCCTGGGATTTATTATACAGACCAGGCTGGCCATGAACTCATAGAGGTCTGCCTGCTTCTGCCTCCTGAGTGCTGGGATTAAAGGGGTGCACATGGTTAAAGTAGCATTTTTCAGTTAACATTTTAAAGTTTTTGTGGTCAGTAATTTTAGGAAGTTATAAGGTCATTTCAATAGTAGCCACACTCAGTATTTTTTAAAAGATATTTTTTAAAAAGATGTATTTACTTATTATGTATATAATGTTCTTTCTGCCTGTACATCTCCATGCCAAATGAGCGCACCAATCACATTGCATATGGTTGTGAGCCTCCATGTGGTTGCTGGGAAATGAACTCAGGACCTTTGGAAGAGCAGGCAATGCTCTTAACCTCTGAGCCATTTCTCCAGACCCAGAACCATTTTATTTTACTAAAAATATTTTTTTTTAGATTGATCTATTTTATAAGCATTTTGCTTGGAAATGACTTTCCATGTTGTCAATCTCAGCATTTGGAAGCGAAGCAGGGACATCTCTTTGAGTCAGGAGCAGTCTGGTCTACATAGAAAGTTCTAGGACAGTCAAGAATATGTAGTAAGAATTTGGGCAACCTTGCTAAGGCCACTTTTTTTGAGGTCATCTCAAGGACATACAGTTACCTGTCCCCTAACCTCCGTAAAAAGACTATCTTCATCAAGTCTCCCTATCGGGAATTCCTTGACCATCTGTGAAAACTCACAACAGAGTCTCTGCTCACAGGACATAGGCTCCAGCTCTGGCCACCACATGAGGGATTTTACACAAGAAAAACTAATGAATTAAATCTGGCTTTAAAAAAATCAAACTCAGAAATTTCCTAGAAAACAAAAGACAAGTTCTATAATAGAATACCTTTTAGTGAAGAATATAAAAGCATCCTCTTTATATATTGTTAATAGTAATATATAGTACCTTATTATGTTTTATACCATCTTCACTGTCTTCTCCCCAAGCCTGCCCATCATCAAATAGAGGTGCTCTTTCTTTCATGGCACGATAAATCTAATTAGTACACAAACAACACATTAGATTAGTGGAGCTGATAGTTTGTAAAATTCATTCTTTTTTAAAGATGTGTTATTATATATACAGCGTACTGTGAGGTCAGAAGAGGGCACTGGACTCCATGTAGCTGGAGTTACAGGTAATTGAGAGCTACCTGGAGTGGGTGCTGGGACTCTGGTTCTCTGGAAGGGTAGGTAGGAAGTTCTCTTAACCAAGTCATCTCTCAAGCCCCTTGCTAACATTGTTTTGAGACGGCATCTTCATCTAAAGCTATAGAATGGAGCCCCACCAGGTGAAGGTGGTATTGTCTAACAAAATTCTATTTCTGAGCATTGTTCTGGGCACAGGAAATCCAAGCGAGACCCCAACCAAAATTTATTTTGGAGCACATGCAACCTTGTCATTTAGTCTCAAAAAGAGATGCGGCCATGGTCAAACTGCTGCTATGCAGACAGACTGTGTGCTAAGTGAGCAAAGAGGCACAGTGAAGAATGAGAGAAACTATCAAGCCACTAATAAAATGCTATGAAGCAATTTGGAATCAGAGCAAAATAACAAATAGTGGACAAGTAGAAGCCATTAATCATATACTATATATGGAGGTGAAGAGAATGATTATATATTTTCAGAACTGGAGAGAGGGCTCAAATTGTTAAGAGTACTTGGTGCTTTTCTTGAGGACTTAAGTTTGTTTCCCAGCTTACGTGTTGCATGGCTCACAAATGCCTGTGACATTGGTTCTAGTGGACCCATTGTTCTCTTCTGGCCTCACACAGAGATTCACACACATAAATAAATAAAAATAACATTTTAAAGGAATATTTTCAATTGTTTCTCCAACCGTTATGCCAGTACTTATACGTGCTTAGACAAGCTCCCTATCACTCTGTTCCATCACCAGCCAGCAGCAACTTCATGCGGGGTGGGAGTGAATTACCAGTCTTATGTATGCTAGACCAGCAACCTATCACTGATCTATTCTTAAGTTCTCTTTTCCTTTTTGTCTTGACACAGGATCTAAGTTCCACCGGCCTAAACCTCTCTTTGTAGAAGCACCTGTAAGGAAAGGTACCTGTGATCCTTCTGCCTTAGCTTCCTAAGTAGATGGGATTACAGGCCAGAATCACTAAGCCTGACTTCAAAAGCCATTTTTGAGATGATAGCAGATCCATTTCTGCAGGGAAAACACTACCTTTTATCTGAATATATCATGACTAAATAACAAAAACCCCCTTCTTTGTAAACAGTGGTAGTAATAGAAAATAATTTAGAATGGGGTAGTTCATTAAGAGTAGTGAGATAAGAAAGTCTTGAACTATCACTACAAGTCTCAGCATTAATAACGTAGAAATATAGTTAAGAAAACATCAAAACAAAAGGAACTTAAAAATATGGTACTTGATATTAAGAAAGCTATTATCTTACTGAAGAAACAGTGAAGTATAAATGAGAAAATTAATACTTCCCTAAAGAATAATGTTAAATATTGTCAAGGTGGTGAATTTTTTCCTAATGTTTTTTAATGCAATTTGAAACCAATGAGGAAGGGGTAAACAAAACACAGAATCTTCAAAGGCATCATCAAGACTGGGAAGTGCGGTTCAGCTGAAGAGTACTTACACAGAATAAAAGAGGCTCAAACACTAACATGGGGAAACATAAACCTAGGGAACACCAAGTCAAGTCCAAAACAAAACAAAACAAAACAAAACAAAAACAAACAAACCTGGATATAATGTCAAGGACTGGTGGTCACAGTCAAGACTACCAGTGAAATAGTTTCTATTCCAAAATGGTGAACCAAAACAACCACTCACCATATCCCAGCCATTCCTTTCTCAAAGGCAAAGCGACCTGACAAAAAAACCAAACCAAACCCAACAATACCCCTTCCAAAATCATTGGTTCAGTTTGAGACAGAAGGGACTTGATACAAAAAGGTTCAAATTAAATGCTGGATTAAAAGCTGGATGCAGTGGCACATACCTGTAGTCCTGCTATTTACCAGCTTGCAGTGGGAAGATTATTTGACCCCAGAGTACAGACTAGGCAACATGGTGAGATTCACTCTCAGAAAAACCAACCAACCAACCAACCAAAGAAGTTTCAAATTAATAGCAAAAGCACATAGCGAGATATAGAACTAAAAAAAAAAACAAAACAGCTTTAAGGTTTTCACAAAGGTAGACTTTGAAACAGTAATGCCTCTCCATAGGCATGCAATGCTCACACATGGCTGTGTAGAGACAGGGTTTCTATGCTTAGACCAGGCTGTCCCTGAACTCAGAGATCTGCCTGCCTCTGTCCTGAGTGCTAGGACTAAAGGGGTGTGCCATCACATCTGGAGGCTGAGTAATTTTAATTGCTATAGTTTCCTTGGAGGAATATTTGTTAGTATGTAGAAAAAAGAAGTTGCTACAGATTAACATGGCACTGTTTTACAGAAAAAATGATTTGCTTAAAAAATGTAGTACACTCTAAATTAAGTAGGGTAAACATGTTAGGCAACATTAAGTCATGTGTTATACTATGTGTTATACTTTTCTAAGGCTGCAGCACAGGTTTATATCAGCATCACCAGAGATGAGCAATTTTGAAATGGCTCCATCACTAAGTGACAGAAATTAGTTCATATCTGTCATAATCTTATGGGACCACCATGCCATCCATCAATGACTGAACATCAGCATGTGACACATGACTGTACACATTTTTAGAGTAAACAGGACTTTGAAACCTATATCCAGGGCTGAAGTGCACCTCAATGTTAGAGACACCAACGGTTCAACTCCTAATACAACAAAACCAAATAAAACTGTATCCAAAGAAAATGACTTAAAAGTTATCTGTAAGTTGGGAGAGTATTCATTCTCTATTTTCCTATTTTTGTGATTGATACTGATTTCATTTTTAAGAAAGGAGAAAATGAATTTCGCAAAGAAAAATGATGTGGGTTCATGTTTTTCTGAACTCTAACACCCCAGGAAAACAATCTGTCAAGCAGAGCTTCTCCCTGCTCACCGTTCTGACACAAATAGTTTGAAGAACTTCAAATCAAACGTGCTCTGAAAGCAGAAGCAGGTTTGGAGACAAGTTGCAAAAGTCAGATTGGGAGAGAAATAGAAAATCATTGTGAGGAAAAACAAAACAAAGCAAAAACTAAACGTTTAAAGGTAAGATTTAAACTATCAATCAAATACCTTGATGCAGTCTATCAGCCATACCAAGGCTGCCACGATGTGAGGCCAGGTATGAGGGGCTCCCACTGCGTACATGGAGTTCTTGGACAGTGCAAAGGGATACCTATGAGAAACAGGGAGATAAGGAGCAACCATGTTAGCAAGCATAAAGGCTACAGTAAAGGTGTATTTTAAAGCTGCACATACACCTGCTGAGAAGATATTTGAGTCTACTCTGAAGATATTATCCATCAATGATTTTTGTGTATTTATTCACATTCCACAGATTATTTTGCACGGTGTTTCACAGCTGAGTATAGAAGGATTCTCCTAAAAAAAAACCTTTTCATTTTCCTACATTCAGTGTACTTCTCTTACACATTAGTGATTATCTGTCACTAAATCTACTTTTGTCCCTGTGTCTCCAAACAAGCAACTTTCCTTCCTTAGTTTTCCCAAGTGTTGGGGTCACAGGTGTTCAGCACCACGTCAGATCTGTGCTTGTCTTTATTTATAATGCTTTTAAACTTTATCTCTCTGCTGGTTAACTTTGTCAACCTGACACAAGCTAGAGTCATCTGGAAAGATGGAACCTCAATAAAGGAATTGTCTCCATTAGGCTGGCCCGTGGGCATATCCAGGGAGCACTTCCTTAACTCATGACTGATGGGAGAGGGCTAGTCCACTGTGGGCAGTGCCACCCGAGTAGGTAGTAATGGACTGTAGGAGAAAGCAAGCTGAGCAAGCTATGGAGAAGTAGTCAGTAAACAGCTTGGCTTCATAGTTCCCACCTCTGTTCCTGCTTGAGTTTCTGCCCTTACTTCCCTTGATGATTAATGTAATAAACTCTTCTCTCCGCTAGCTTTTTTTTTTTAAAAAAAAGATTTATTTATTTATTATGCATACAATGTGCTGCTGGCATGTATGCCCACACACCAGAAGAGGGCGCTAGATCTCATTACAGATGGTTTTGAGCCACAAAGTAGTTGCTGGGAATTAAACTCAGGTCCTCTTAACCTCTGAGCCATCTCTCCAGCCCCCTCTGTTGGTTTTATTCTGAGTTTTATTCAAATATCACGAAATCACAATAAGACAATCTCATTGTTTTCATAAGATCTTACTGCTATGCTTTTGCCACCATAAATTGTGGTGATCAGGTTGCACTTTATACTTTCTTGTGACCGGGACTAACCAAGTAGCTTTGGCTAGCTTGGTATTCATCATGTAGACCAGGGTAGCCTTGAGTTCAGAGGATCTATTTGCCTCAGATTTTGGAGTTCTGAGATTAAAGGCCTACCACCATTCCAGGCTGTACTTTATATTCCTCATTGTTTGAGCTTTATGTTCTATCACCTAAACTTCTTTTATAGTGGACTGCTATGGTTTGAATGTTTATTCTGCAGAATTTATGTTGGGAACTTAGTACATAGAGTCAGATACTAATGATACAAAGATATGGGACTTCTGGCAGGTGAGAGCCCTATGAATGAATCTATTCCAATACAAAGGAGTGTTTGAAGGCATGGCCTTGTTATAAAGATATTCCTTTCCTACACCCATGCTCCTCCTTGCCATATGATACCTTCTGGCAAGTCATGACCCACCAAGAAGGCCCTTATTTATTAGAGGCTGAGTACATGCTGATGTCATGCTTTTGGGCTTTCCATCCTTTATAACCATGAGCTAAGCCAGTCACACGTGTGCTCTTGTGTGTGTGTGTGCATGCGTGTGTGTGTGTGAGTGTATATATATGGTGTGTTTTAAGCCTATAGATATTTTGTACCTAGTAGTCTGGAATATATACAAATATATATATCACATAAATATATATATATTTAAAATTTATGCATATGGTTGGTTTGCCTATAAATATGCATAACATGTGTGTGCCTGATGGCTGTGGAGATCAAAAGAGGAATCATTGTATATGAATGTGAGCCACCATGCGGGTGCTGAGAACCTAACCTGAGTCCCCTGGAAGAGCAGCCAGTACTCTTAACCACTGAGCCATCTCTTTAGCTCCCTAGTTCCTATATTTACCAATTAACAAGCATTGGTGTTTTGTTACAGGTTCAAAAAAAAGTTGAATATGCTACAGTCTATCAATTTTCCTTCCTCTTCAGTTCATCCTTCACATACTGTTCACAGTGCTCATCCTACTAATGAACCTACTAATTCAAAGTATTCACAAACTTACAATAATGAGTTTCTTCTGTGTTCTGATAAGATCTTAGACGAAAAGAATATTACATACCCAAGGTCTTTGAAAATTCTTGGAACTTCTTCTTCAAATTTCTTGACAGACAGTTCATATGATGGACATAGGAAGCCATAAAGAAAGGCAAAGATCTTTAGAAAACCTTTAGTTGATGGGGCTTGTAGAGACTTGATGGATACACTATGTACATAACCATTTTCTGTAAGAAATGACAATCATTTTTATGAAACATTGAAAGTTTTGGATTAGAAAAGTGTTGGGAGCAAAAACACTCAAATCAGACAATTTAAATTAAAGAATACCTCATAGAGCTTTTGAGTACATTGCTGAATGAATGCTTTATCCTTAAGTGGTCTTGGATCCTTGATTTTTTCAGAACTGGAAAATATACCAAGTTGACTATTAATGGATGAATGCCCACTAGTCCTAGAAGAATATTTTAAGAAGGCAATCAAAAACATTTCCTTCTGTGTTCAAGTCTGCATTATTTTAAGGCTACCCATCACACACACACACACACACACACACACACACACACACACACAAATTGTAACAACAACATCAAACATTAGCCTTTAAGTTTTAATTAACTAAATACAATGTATTCCTTAAAGCAGAAGGAGAACACACCATGAAGTTACAACAGTTTTAGGCATAAAATGCGAAGGGAATAAAATGTATTTCTGGGACCAGGGATACATCTCAGTGTTTTGTTCAGCTTGTGAAGTGCTCTGTGCTCAATCTTCAGCGCCACAAATAACAAACCAAATTTCCTTGTGCATGACATTACCAACACACACATTATCCTTAAAGGTGTGTGTCAGGCCCATAGATCTTCTGTACCAAGTAGTACAAGCCTGTTCAATAACCTAAATGCTTTCATCTCTATTTATGCCCCTATAACTGCTCCATTGCTTGTACTCCCTTGTTTGTCATTATGCCTGAAGGGAAAATTGTCTCTGAGTATCAAGAGTTAATATGCATGAAGAACTTAAGAACATTTGACCTATATGAACACTCAATAAACATTCAGAACTACTCGTAAAGGAGAGTCTGCCATTATCTCCATTAGAAAGTAAAAATATCTATTTTTATGTATATTGTGTCTGTATATGCATAACCACACATACATGTGAGTGCTTATGCAGGTCACAAGAGGGGCATCAGATTCTCCTGGAGCTGGAGTTACAGGTGGTTGTGACCTGCCCCATGTGGTGACTGTTGACTGAATTTGGGTCCTCTGGTAGAATAGGAACGACTCTAAACCACTGAACCAACTCCCATTATCTCCACTCTTTTTTTTTTCTTTCTTTCTTTCTTTCTTTCTTTCTTTCTTTCTTTCTTTGGAAAACAGGTTTTTCTGTGTTGTTCTGGTTGTCTTGGAACTTGTCTGTAGACCAGGCTGGCCTCAAAACCAGAGATTAGAATGCCTCTGCCTAATTAAAGGCATGCACCACTACTCAACCTTTCTCCTTTCATATACGCAAGGGATTCAAAGTACAAAAAGGTGAGGTCTTTCCCCAGGTCATACAAATAACAGACTGCTTCCTGTCAATCTGTATCAAACTTCCCCACCTCCAATTCAGACAACTGCTGATCTCGTCTAGAGAAAGTTCTCCAAGGTGAATCTAGGTATCACTACAACAAAAGCAAGATGCTGTTTGTTCTTCTCACTCTTATCCTCTCATATGTACATTGCTTCCTAGACTGGCTGCTATGACAGTCTGAATGCAGTAGCAGACAAAGATTCTAACCATCTTTCATTAGTCAGCTATTAAAGGGATCTGAATTTAAAAGTGGGAGACTATGTTTGGCTGCCCAATAAAATTGTTTGGCATTAGAAATGTTTCAATTATATTACATTTATTTATTTGTGTGTGTGTGTGTGTGTGTGTGTGTGTGTGTGTGTGTGAGAGAGAGAGAGAGAGAGAGAGAGAGAGAGAGAGAGAGAGAGAGAG